AAAAAAAAAAAAGAAAAGAAAAGAAAGAGCAAGATCAGGAGCAAGCAGCCCCTGAGGTGTGCGCATAGGTAAGGATGGGCTTCCCCTTGACATAATCCAAGAAAAGAAGATTTTCTGCAGCCAGTTAACATTTATCTATGTATTTTCAAAGGCAAACAAGTGTGCTAACCATTTACATTTTTAAAAATCCTAATCTTATTATTGCCAAGGTACCATTTCTATTAATTTTACAAAGCCACAAATGAGAACTCTGTCCTCAAACTGGGAAAGAAGTCATACAGATTGAATACTACACCTGTTGAAACTAGGGTGTGGTTCCGTCCACAGGCAGCAAATTTCACTTTTTCAGGTTTTAAAGCTAAAAATACAAAAAAATATGACAATTAAAAGATTTTATGGTTACAAAAATGATAAATAACACAGGTCAAATGGTAACTAAGCAGTAGAAACGAGATTTAAACCCAGGCCCGTCAGACTCCAAAGTTGATGTTCTTAGCTAATAAGCCAAAAGTTTTCAGGACATGCTGTGCATCATAATAACCAGTGGAGCTTTGAGAAAAATACAGATAGCTCAGCCCCACCCCTGGAGAATGTGAGTCAGTAGGTCTGCTATGTATTTTTCAAATCTCCACAGGTCATGAATATGTACTGAGATTTGTGGCACTGTTATGCTGCCTCCTCACCAACCTGATCTATTCCCTAATCTGCTTTCACCATTGTCAAGTTCACCTTCTACCTCACACAATGAAACACTACAAGTCCAATATTCATAGGCATAACCTATGGCAAAGCTCTTCACTCATTCATTTACATGTTCAAAAAAGATTTACAGAACCCCTCCTAAGTGCTTAGCATAGAGGCTGCAAAGATCACTAAGACAGAGTCCCTGGTGTCAAAGTTCACAGTCTAGACAATCTGTTACTTCATCTATTAGATATCTGAGAGTAAAGATCATGTGAATAAACCCAGGGTTTTTAAAAAAAAAAAAAACCCAAACAACCTAGGGTTTATAGTACATTGTGCTCAATAAACACTTTTTGACCAAGTAGAATACTTTGAAAATTCCATAACATTATCTATAAATAGCATGGATATGCTAAATTACAATGACATTTTGAGCTGAAATTAAAAATTTAGCTAAGAAGATTAAGAATACTGCTCTTGGCACATCCCAAAGAATCTCCATCACCACTCAAACTTAGCTGATGTTCACAGGTAACAACCCAACAGAAGCTTTACACATAATGCTAAGAAAGCTTTGTAAAGGTATTATACATCCCATATTTTCTGGGACAGTCCTGATTTAAAATATTTTGTCCTGTTCTTGTAAGGACACTAGTACTAATTAACCCCTAGTCCCGATGTCTCGTTCAGTACAGCTACTCACTATATGCAGCAGGGTAAAGCATAATTCATAAAACCAACAACTACATAGAACCATGATGTCCACAACTCTAACAAATGAGACAAAGCTCAAAATTCTTATATACTGTATTGGTTGTTCTTTGTATATACAATAACAGTAATATTTAAGCAGGTTAACAAACAGGCAAAATAATTCAAGTGCAATACTGGAGAATTATTATTTCCTTTGTGTTCTTCGGGTTTAAAAAGCAATGTGATTTTTAGACCCTAATATATAAAAGTAGTTCTGATTATCATATAAAAAATAAAGTTAAACACCAATAATAGGTAAATAATGGAAGCTAAAGAACTAAAGGCTTTATTATTCCTAATATGATATTAAAGAACATCACAATCAATATAAAAGTACTTTATGTAGTGCAAGTATTTAAAGCAATAAAGAAGAAAAGACCCCAAACCTTTGACACATGTTGGCTTGTTAACAGTTGACTTTGATCCTAATCCTAACTGGCCCCAGTTGTTACTGCCAAACATGTAAAGTTTATTATTTCCTGGTGGGAAGGAAAAAGACATAAGAAACTGAAGCATTTTCAACATAAAGTCATGTGAGATGAAGTCATCACAAAGCAATAAAAAAGCTACACTTAAAAGTTGTATTGCTTTTCCGTGTTGAAACAGGTTACAAGGTTACAAACAGGTTAAAATGAATTGTTTTAACTGTCCATCTAAGGGTTACCAGATTCTGTTAGGTGTAAAAAAGTTTCTAAGAGGGGCGCCTGGGTGGCTCAGTCGTTAAGCGTCTGCCTTCGGCTCAGGTCATGATCCCAGGGTCCTGGGATGGAGCCCCGCATT